TGTATCGGTGGCAGCCTCTTCCACATGGATAAGCAGCTGTAATCAACAGCAAAGAGCTCGTGTCTATAAATGTAGTCCATGCAGACTGAAATCTTAAGAACAGGCCGCTGCCATATGGTTACGGTTTGAAGTACAGTTCTTAAATCTTTTTATCTTTTACCCCATGCCTCTCTATTTCATCTCAATGAAATGTGCATGATATGAAGAGAAATAGACAAAAGACACGCAGATCAGCAATGAAAAAATGTTTTTCTATAAAAGCAGAGGGACACAATGGTCTTAACATATTTTTGTTATTTATCACGACAGTCGGCCCTCAGCTACAAAATAAGGTCTGTCCCACCAGCCTTACAGTCTCTGTAATGGTACAAAATTGACCTGTCACTGGCTTCAAAGTCGGGTATTCGTATAAATCTAAAATCATTGCCTCCATGTCAACAGGCTAGTTGATGAAAATCTTTTCTGGCTCTACATGATTGTACTGAAGCTGTTTTTTTTAACATCATCCAGGACAGAAATGGTGCCATGCATCATTTTTCTCAACTGTCATTATTACGGCTCTGAAAGGTCTTGACATTTACTATGAGCACTTGAGCCAGAGATAACATGTAGTTTAAATGGTTTGGTGTTCGCTTTCCGGCGCACACGATGATTAGACAGAAAAGAAGAACAATAGTTGAGACTTCACAGAAAATAATTTTAAAAAGAAGGAATAGTTGATGATCTGCTTAACGCACAGCCATAACCATGGGTGAGAAGCACCTCTTTCTGCATTTCAGCAGCTTTTTAATTAGACCACAGCAAGTTCAGTTAAAAAGTAAAAGCGAGGCTACTTCATTTCCAACAGCTTGGTTGGAGATGTAGTAAACACTGGGCTCTCTGAACACATCAGTTAACTGCCAGATATCAGCAGTTTCATGCACTCATTTGGGGGAAAACCTGGTTTACCTCTTATGACACATCTGGAGGCACACCTGAGTCTGTCACTGTTAATTAAACGCCCAAATCCTCTCGTCTGTTTGCTGCACCCCATGTTTAATGCAGCCTGTGTTGCTGTCAGCACAATGCTGCTTTTCTTCAGAGTCTCTTAATCTCAGGGATCAAGTGTTTGGATTGTCAGTTGACCTAATTTTTTGGCCAATGAATAGCCACTATCATGATACAAAACCATCTGCATGTGGGAAGGACCAGTTGTTAAGCAGGGGTGGTACCAAATGAAGCCATCCCTACAGACGAAGACAACGTTATTAACCTCCAATTAAATTTTAAGTTTTTGTCAAAATTTTCTCAACTGTTTTTTTTAACAGAGCACGGGATTTTTCAAACATACATAACATAATTATTTCTATTTTCACACAAGCAGAATTAGTATTAACAACATTAACAACTGTTGTTCAATGATGTGCTTTAACTTTGTAATGCCCAAAGTTTGGAAGACAACCCTGAGTTTTAACTTGATTTTACAATTTACACACAGTATAAACACTTCAGTAGCAGTTTGCGCCTCACTTGAGAAAATATCATGCCACAAATAAACAAAATCCGTTTAGACTTGAGAAAAAGAATTACTGATGCTCACAAGGCAGGAAATGGATTTACAAAGTTGTCACAGCGTTCTAAGTAGGGCTGCCACAAACGATTATTTTGATAGTCGACTAGTCACCGATTATTTTTGCGATTAGTCGACTAATCAGATCATCATCCATTGGACGTAAAACTTACAGCTTACTGCACAAGCAGCATCTGTACTGCACCAGCAGCATCTGCTCTTATAGAACTATCATTAGCTTACAGTTTTAAGTGTGTAAGGTCTGTGCTAACTAAAGATAAAGACAAGATGATAGTTTAATAAATTTTAATGAAATTTACAGATTGTTTCGGTGAAGTTTAATAAACTCCTTGCTATCTAAAATATAACGGGACACCGGAGTAAATTCTGGAGCATCTCACACTTCTGATAATCAGCTGTCTGCTTGACATTTATTCAGCTGTGTAAAAACTATAACTTTTATTTCTCAGCCAAACCGATTTACTCAGGAACAAATAAAATACTAAAAAAAAGCCAAACAATAACATTTTTAAGTTATCTAAGTGACTTATATATATGTTTAACCTGAGTAGCGAAAGACTGCGGTGGGTTTGAAAACGATTTGCCAGGAGTCCGGTGTTCTCACGGCTCTAGTGAGCCTAGCCCCCGGCTCGCTATCGAGCTAGTGGGTAACAGACGTCTCCGAAAACGTCGGAGCGCTTTTGAAAATATGTGGTGTCTTGATAAACTGAGCAGATATTTGAGGTTTACACAGTTACAGTCTCGCCTGAAAATATGTGAAACGTTTATTTTGTGACCCATAAAGAATAATAAGAGTAACATTAAAACTAACTAGCTGCCGCCATTGTTGGAAACTGAGCTGGGCTGCGCAATGAATTCTGGGACAAAGCTACTTCTTCTTCTTCGGGGTTTAACGGCAGCTGGCATCCTTGTACATGCAGTGCTGCCATCTTCTGTTTCAGTCCGTTATTACACTCTTAAATCCTACTACTTATTCCTGCGTCTTTTGTGATCTTACAAAGCTTCAAACGACGCGTCGACTATTAAATCAGTCGTGGACGATTTTGATAGTCGACTAATCGTGGCAGTCCTAGTTCCAAGTGTCAAGAACTGGAGTGAAAAGTGTCATCAAGAAATTCAAAGAGAGCCCTACAGTACAGAACAGGCCTGGCAGAGGTAGGAATAGAAAGATATTAAAGTCTGTGTAGGAGATGTGTCTTAAGACCCCAGAACAACTACCAAGACACTAGAGGCCTGCACAAGACTGGACTACAAGGTTGCAGACCAAGAAAAAATGTGACTTCTGCAGTGTACTAGGGACAACCTGGAGAAAAACGCGTCCGTTTGTCAGATGAGACAAAACTGGCCACAGACTCAAACATATGTTGTTCCTGGTCAAGAACTACCTCCAGCAGAATAAAGCCTTTACGTCCTGACTTGATTCCCACTGAAAATTTGTAGGGTGAACTGAAGACCAAAGTCCATGCCAGAAGACCATGATATCTAGAGGAGCTTGAGAGATTTGCCCAAGAAAAATAGGCTGCGTTTGACCAGGAGACGTGTGTGTGACTTGCTGAAAGCTACAGCAAATGAATGAAGGCTGTTACCCAGAGAAAAGATACACAATTTACTATTAGCATAAGGGTGGCTAATAATTTTACCCTGGTAGTGTTAGGCTTTTTTGTGTGTTTAAAGTAAAATAATGTAAACAAGCATAAAAAGAGTTTGAATTTTGGAAAAGCTAGGTTACAAATTCCTCGCTCTGTTTAACAGCAAATTTGTATAGGATGCGATAATAATAATAATTAAGTACTGATCTGTAAATACAAAACAGGAAAACCACAGGAAATATGATTTTCACAATTGTACAGAAATACATCTGTTAAATAAAGTAATATGGACCTCTGTGCAGGTTGTGGACCAGTTGTGCTTACCTGTGTAGTCAACCCCCAAAGGTCCATTTTGAGCCATGAAAAACCCCATAAACACACATTATTAAGGCTTGGAGGCTCGCTGTCTTATGTCAGAAAGCAGGCGTATTGCTAACATTTAGGTGTATCTCCCGTTGCCCAAGGGAGGCTGGCTTTACTAAAGTATTCATCATCACTCTGGCATCCATTTGTTACAGATGTGTTTGAGTGCAGATGGAAACCAGCCGACAAGGTGACACGCTAGAGCAGTTGTTAAGAAAGCTTTCCTAGCAGCTGCCTCCTTTAAGACCTCCAGTTAACCTCATCCAAAGCAGCCACTCGAAACTCAGAGTCTGTTATGTCTTGTTTTAAACAGTCACTCAGCCCATTGCCAGAAGGACTTGTTCAAGATGAAAAGTCCTGATGCATCCATGGAAATAAATGTTGTCTAGAACAACGTTTTCTAATGTCAATGATTGTCATAGCAAACAGTTCTGAGACTAATTTGCTTATTATGTGCACATTTTTTGTTGTTGAGCAATACCAGTTGATATTTAAGAAGTTTATTCATGAGATATACAAAGAGCTTTTTGAAGTTTACAGCTTGACCGAGGTTAGCTACACTCTAAGAACTAAAACTGATAATTACTTAAATATTTTGGTGCAACACTTTTACACTCAAAAATAATGAGTAAATGCAAAAACAATCACATCTCTTAAATACACCTTATTAATTGAGTAAATCCAACTAAAATGGAATAAGTTGTTATGAACAATTAAAGATGTTACAGTAACATACAAAATTGAGTAAATACAATTGAAAATCTAAGTTAAAACAACAGTAACCAAAAGTTCAAACTACATAAAATATTAATTAGGAAATGCTGAAATGCTTGGCACATTTAACCTACACCATTACAATTATTTGTTTTTAAATAATGGTGCAATTTACTTAATATTTTTAAGTTAATTTAAGCAAAAACGTTAATTACAATTAAGTGTTTATTTTATTTATACACACACACACACACACACACACACACAGGAAAAAAGAACCACGTCAATTCAACATTGTTCACAATGATTTATTTTAAACAGCTTTTTTGTGAATCACACATTTAGCAGATTCCTTCTCTGAACACAGTGAGCTGAAATCTGTTCTACATTCAGTGGATAAAACTTGGATAAAATTTCAGTCACAACAGCCTTATATAATAAAATTGCATCCAAATTGGCATGCTTGATAAAACTCTGTAAAACTGGCATATTGATGCTAACAACAAGAAAAATGTACCTGCCATACAAAGAATAAAAGTGGCTCAAGTGAACGCAGTGCTTTACCTTTTCAGAAAAGGTCAAATGACAAAAATAAAATTAAGATCCCAAAAAGATATAAATCCTGAAAAAAAAACCATTTGCACTGTGACATAGTTTTTGAACATCTTATTTTGATTCCAAAAAATTGGGAAGATTATAACTAAAGAGTGACCAAAAAACATCCATAATGATACTCTACCATTTACACCTTAATGTGAATCTGGAAAGTTAATACAAAAACACAGTTTATGGGACAAACATTATTTATGAACAGGAATGTCAAAACAATGTAATGTCGCAACTGAACCTTTTGATGAGCATTACATGTCACTTAACAAGTCTAACACTTTAAGAACAGCCCTGTGAAATTTTGTCTACAATGAACAGAGGTCATTTTTCAGTCTTTGAACCTTGACAGAAAGGTTTCCTGGATCCAGCTCCATGAACACTTTTCGAAATGCTTCAAATGTGCATTTGAAATTCTTGGGGTATTTCAGATCCAGAGCATAGCACAGTCCCAAAAGATAGCAACAGGCTTTGCTCAGATTCCCAAGTTTGCCCAGAACAGTAACGCCTTCAATAACAATACCCACATCAGTAGGTTCGCCTGACCTGTCTTGATTCTGCAGCAGGTAAATCTTCATCACCTCCTCAGCCAAAGCCTCTTCAACAAAGACAGCATCAGCACCGTCCTTTAAAAAGAGAAACAACTGTTTTAAGCTCACATATTTCCAAACATTGAAACAAAAAGTTTCATTTGTATGACATCACCGGTACTCATAATATGTAGACACTGTGCTCCAAAATCTTATAGCAATAGCAAATGCAAATGCTATTCTTTTGTATGCTTTGAAGTGTTTTTTTTTCTTTAGAACAGTATCTTAAAACTTTTCTATGATCTCACAAGCTAAAATAAACTACCGTAATTGTCGGGCTATAAGCCGCTACTTTTTGCACAAGCTTTGAACCCTGCGGCTTTTAGTCAGGTGCGGCTTTTCTCTGGATTGTCCACGATTTTTGTCATATCGTAAGATTTGTTTTGTTTGTTCCGCTGTTGCCTGGCGGAAGGGCATGTGATCAGACACACAGTATCGGGGTTCAAGAGTGGTATGTTGGTCACATGTCCATCCGCCAGGCAACACAGTGCCGTACAAGTAGCGCGAAAAACAAACTTCAAAGTAGCGCTACGCGTTCAGCGGGAGGCGTGGATGACGAGCGGCGATAAACTTGCGAAAAGCAAGTTATGCTCAATTCCACCGGTGGATTCTGACAGCGTGGAAAAGTGTGAAAACATCCACGATCACCAACGGATTTGAAGGGCTGGACTGTTGCATGATGGAGAGGAGGACACCGCCACGGCCCTTCTGAGGGTGTTCGACTCTGACACTGACAATGAGGATTTCTTTGGTTTTGAAAGTGACAACGAAGGAGAGAAGCGGAGAGTGGATGACGAAGCCATCCTGAGCCTGTTCGTTTCCGACATTGGAGGAGAGGACTTTGGTGGTTTCAGTGCGCAGGAAGAAAAGAAAGATGGTGGTGAATGACTGACTTTTCTTCTTGTTAAAGCCGTGTCGCTGCACCTGAGCCTAAAAGGTAGTCTGAATCTATTTTTCTGGTGTGCTGCAGGTTATTGTTATGTACTACATTTGTTACTCATTTATGAAGCACAGTACATGTGTCCTACTTGTAATTACCGCTACTTGTACATATACCTAAAAAGTTATGCAAATATGTACCCATAACTTGTTTTTCAAGATATTAATAAAAGGGGTGTGTCTCCAAACAGCCATCTCTTTCCTGACAATTCGCTTTGTGCATATTCTCTTACATATGATAAGTCAACATTGAAACACCTGCGGCTTTTGGTCAGGTGCGGCTAATGTATGTACAAACCAGGATTTTCCCCTGATTTTAGCTTGTGCGGCTAATATTCAGGTGCGCTTTGTAGTCCCGGAAATACGGTACTAATATTCCTAAAACAGATTTATTGCACCAACCTCAAAGGTTTTGATTAAGACACTTGGATCCTCTCCCAGATGGTCAATGAAACATCTGATGATGACTTCTCGTTTTTTCTCGATGGAATTTCCACTCTGTAAAACAGGAAGTCTCAACTGAGGCAAAATTTGCACATTTAAAACATGACTTACCATTTCTAGCTTAAACATAACTATTTTTTTTCTGTTGTTGACCTGTTTTCACACCCACCATCAAGGTAAGAACACCTGTGGAGCTAAAATATTGAACAGAAACCTAAGAAAAGCCGTTTTTAGTGGAAGGGCCTCTTCAATGCTGTGTTGGAACGTTTTTGTGGTTAGAAAATGCAATCTTCCTTACCTGAAGCAGAAGGTTTAACTGTGCCCTGTGGCGTTGTCCAGCAGCACCTTTCTTGGCTTGAAACAAGGACAGGAGTTTGGATGAATACAAGTCCAACGATGACATGAACTTTGGTTCAAGGTTCAGGGTCGTGATCCTATGAAACGCTGCACTGACCTGGATGGGAGAGGACAAAAAATCTGAAGGCCAAAATTCTGATTCAATCAAAAAAAATAAATAAAAAAATAAAAATCTACCATTTTTTGCAACCTGGACCTTATTTTCTAACATGCAAAAGATTAATTTACACATCCAGACATAAATCCATATAAGTGGAGGTGTTCAGTATGCAGACTAAACCCTCAACATAAAGTATTATCTTCCACTAAGCTTCTAAATTTTATGTTATGAATTGCTTGCACTATTTCCCTGTGAGATTGTATAATCTTAGAGGGAAGAGGCGGAGCCAGGTTGCCCTCTGAACCATCGTCTGCCAGGCAGCGATGCGAGAGGAACACACCGCTGAAGTGGCGCACATATTCAGAATCGTGTCAGCGGCTTTACAGAGAAAGCCTTTCAGCTCCTCTGGCAGCTCTGCTTCCTCCACCTTCCTGGAGATGACAAACGCTAGCAAATCAGTGTTGTTAGTCAATGCAGCTGACTGAACAGTGCATTGATGTGCGCGATCAGTGAACCTTGCTATCAGCTGGTCAAGTTTGGCGGGATGGGCCGGTCGCTGTCCAACGACCTTGGTCATTTTGGTGCCGAAAACTGAAGCGAGGCTCGGCTCCAGAGGGGGAACAGGCGGAAAACTCCGGTCTGTGAAGCCCTAGGTAGAGACCGGCGCTCTAATCTTCGCTGGCTCTGCTGCTGCCTCAGAGAGGTTGGTCATCATCCCTGGGAACTGAGGCCAGATGGGATCTGGGCAACGAGAGTGAGTGGAGCCATACCTTCCCGCCAGATCATGGCCTGTATTTATATAGCGCTTTACTAGTCCCTAAGGACCCCAAAGCGCTTTACATATCCAGTCATCCACCCATTCACACACACATTCACACACTGGTGATGGCAGCTACATTGTAGCCACAGCCACAGCTGCCGGACACTGGCGCCACCGGGCCCTCTGACCACCACCAGTAGGCAACGGGTGAAGTGTCTTGCCCAAGGACACAACGACCGAGACTGTCCAAGCCGGGGCTCGAACCGGCAACCTTCCGATTACAAGGCGAACTCCCAACTCTTGAGCCACGATCATCAGATGGGGGTGGAGCAGGCTGAGGGACGGGAAGTTCCTTCTCACCAGCTGCCTCCTGGATGATGCCAGGCAGATCCAGGAGCAGCGCACCAACAACTGGGAGCGGCGTCCTTGCCGACATGTGAAGGCCAGGGGTGGATGAGCGTCGGCTCATCCACCCTTCTGTCACCAGGCTGCCCAGCTGGGAGGCAGTGGAGCTGCCACCACTGCCGTTTTCCTCACGGTGGGTGGAATCATCCAATTCCGGCCCACCATCGAAGAACTCGATGGCTTCTTCCAGCGAGTGCCTCTCTTAGTGGGAACGCCTCCTCAGCATCAGCCTTGAAAAAGGCTGACCTCCGCTGCTTTTCCTCTGGCGGGAGGAGCTAACAGGAGCAGCAATAGGATTAAGGTGTGAGGGCAAGGTCCGCATGGTGAGGACCGAGGCAGCCCACGCAGACGGCATGTCGGTCATACGACATGATGTAGCCGGTCTGGCAGGATGGACACAGACGGATGGTCTCGCTGGACATCTTCTGGCTGGCTGAAGAAAAACGGTAGAGCCGATTTCCTGGTCTCACCGTAACTTATACTAGACCAGGGTGAGGCCCACACAGCAGGTGGGCGTGGACTAAAATACTTCAGTGCTGCGCGCACAAGGGGAATACCCACTTAAAGGGCTGCGCCTATACTCATGGTGACACTGGATGACAGGCCATGAACTCATCAATATATTTACCGAACTGAAAAATTCTCAAAATTTAGATTTGGCATTTGTATGACTAAAATAACCCACCACAAAACCAGTATAAATATTTAGGCCGTATCACCATCCACTACTCAGCTTGTATAAAACAATATCATATCCTTCCAAAATTTAACACATCAAGTCCTCTGAGTAAAATTACCTGCTTTACTTTGTAGTTGATGCAGATTTTTCTCCTGGTGGTGAAGATGGTGCTGAAAAAATACAAATCAAAACTTTATCATTACAAAACATGTCACTGAGTAATCTGCCATAACACCAATCTCTTATAAGAAAGTTTAGCTTGGATTGAAATAAACATTTATTTATGTAAATTGGGAGTAACTAGGCAAGGCAAGGCAAATTTATTTGTATAGCACAATTCAACAACAAGGTGATTCAAAGTGCTTTACAGAGAAACAAAAACAAATAAAAAGCATGATTTAAAATTGATTAAAGCAAGCAAACTAACTAACTAACAAACAAAACAGTATATAAAATCAAAACATAAAATCACAACAGTAGATAAAATCAGTAGTTAAATGTAAGTTTTGAAATTTAAGCTTAAAAGTGTGGATTTGGTGCTTTATTCAAATGCAGCAGAGAATAGGTGAGTCTTCAACCTGGATTTAAATAAACTGAGTGTTTCTGGAACTATACTATACTAACTATATACTAACTATACTGGAAATGATGGTACTTTTGGCTTGACCAAAAGGACCAAAGCTTTTTTTTTTCATTATTTTCTGGGATCTGAAAGGAAGTAGGGCCCCCAGTCTAAATTTACTTAAGGCCCCATAGTACTTTGGACCGGCCCTGGATGAGGTAATCTGCTGACCCGGACGGTCCTGTCAGCGTTCTCTCAAAAACTGGCCCTGTTCGGGACAAAGCTGAAAGCAGCGTCTTATATGCTCTGAAAGACCCCACATAGAACAAGAAAGCTAAGCAGCATGGTTGCTGCTATGAACTGTTCCGCGGGCAGGTCTTCTTAGTTACCAAAGCCATTGATGACGTCTGTTCATCTCCTCCTGAACAACCTGACAGAGTGAGTCAGGCCGCGTGACTACCGCAGCTCCCGCACCGCGACTCAACAGGGCCATTTTCTAGAAATGTCTGAGCACACCTGCTTTCACGTGGTTCCTAAAATGCCCCCAATTAAACGGTCAGGTCGCTGGTACCGGGACATTCCGGTCAAATTACCCGGAACGCAGATAGCGACTCAGAACGTAAAAGGATAAAAGGGTGCGGTTTCCCGCCGCCTTGACTGGAAGACGGGTTGAAAACTTAAATTAACGTGCACAAACACGCTGCGAAAAGTGAGCCACCATGACAAACGCTTTCTTCAGAACATGTTATAAAAGAACGGTGTGGATAAAGACAGCTAATGTAAGAATTGGTCACTTACCTGAAAACGTTACCAAGTCTGCAGTGGATGTGCGTCTGTCTCGTTCAACGTGCAGAAAATCTCCCATGAGGCCATGCTCCTCGCGTGCGGTACATGCCAAAGGTCATTAGTCTTACTCAAAGTTTTAAGTTAGTATTGGGGGACAAAATTATATTGATTTTTGAACCATTAATAATTAAAGTTAAAGACAATGATAAGTATGAATACCAGTGTCTCAGTTATTATGAGTACTTTTTATGAGATATATTGAGTAGATTTAAATAATGCACCCTGTGTTTCAAATACAGAATTTTTTCTTTTAAATAAACTTGAACAAAAGAGCTCAGTTCAACTCAAAAACTGGTGTTGAAAATTTAAGCATTCTTTTCAGTATTTTCAACTCAAGATAACACTTTTGTGATTTTCAAAGATTTAATCAAGGTCATCTAACTTAGAATTATAATGATATTTACTAAGCCCCTGAATAATTTTTTAGGGTGTAGTCAGACGCATGACATGATGCTCCCTCATTTCTTTATAACATATATAAAGAACATCCAGTTTAATGCTGGATGGTAGGAAAAGCTCTTACTTTTGGCTTCCTGCTGAACACATTCCAGGATGCCAGAGCTTTTTTCATGGCATGATTTGTAACTTCATGCTGCAACTATGCACTGGGGCTAAAATGCATTGAATAAACCAAATTTATACACTATAAACAATTTCTAAATGCATTACATTTGTGCCTATCATTTGTCAGGCAAGTCAATCCATTGTACTTCATAAAAATTAAGCATTTCTATTTCTAATATATTTCAATTAGCACTAAAGAGATTGAGTGCCCCAGTGAATTAAAGTCTAAATGGAAATGCTTTCTCAAGGTAAATCCTTCGAGGGAAATAGATGCTATGCTAGGTTTTAAAGCATCTTTCTAATACTCGTATAATCACTACAATTATATGGGATAGGGAAAATGATTTGGGGTGGAAAAATTGAGCTTTTACCCATTCCAAGCTCAGAGCATCCACATAATTGCAATAATTCTACAGAAAATCTCAGAGGAGCATTTTTGTGATGTGAGAAAGCTATAAGACTGAAAATTAAACTTGACAGAGTGGAGAAGCAATAACAGGTTATCTTTTGGGCAATTTTAAGAAGAAGTTACATGAAACCGAGTTTTGCTGAAGTGCATGCCAAGGTTGCTGACTTTTTTCCCTCAGTGGCTGAGGTAAACATAAGTTTGCATGAAATATTTTTTAATTTGGTGTGGTGCTTACAGTGCATTACTGCAAAAGTCTTCAGCTACCCTTAATTAATGCTGTGCAAATAGAAATGGAAAGTTTGCCCAATTCTAACAAGTTTGAAGGTCAATATTTGATATGACCGCATTTATTCTTTAACATAGCCTGAACTCTCTTATTGAAGTTTTCTTGTCTTTTCTTTAAGTAGTCAGGAATAGGTCTCCAGGTTTCTTGAATGATATTCAACGCTCTTCTTTTGTTCTGTTCTCTGTCAAGATGATCCCACACTGCTTCAATAATGTTGAGGTCTGGACTGTGAATTGACCAATCCATGACTGACAGTGTATTTTGGGACCATTATCACGCTGGGAAATGAAGCCCGTCTCAATCAGACACTTTCTAAATGGTGTTGCATGGTGGCTAAAAATCTGACCGTATTGATAATACCTACAATTTTGACGTGGTCCCCGACAACGTGCAGCCCCAAACCATAACAGAGCCTCCATCTTGTTTTACAATGGCTCTAGACACTGTTGTACCGCTCTCCCAACCTCCTCCGTAAACATTAGGAATGATTCGAACCAAAAACTTTACATTTGTATTCATCACTCCTTAAGAGCTATTGATTTTCAGTCCAGTTCTTGTGTAATTTGGCATACCTTAGCCTTTTATTTCTGTTTCTTCTTGATTGCTAGGGCCTGATTAATTTTTCAGGTCCTGTTTTGAGATCTTCTGCTTTTTTACTGTATGTGTAATAAAGATTGATACATGAATAAATTTGAGATGCCATTTGTTTTAAATACTAAAAGACACGAATCTCATGAAAAAAAGTTTCAGCTCAATCCACTCTCCAAATATTGATACCTATATTGATACGTTTTTATATTCCTCGTAATTCTTTGATTGGCTACGTTTGCTTTTAGAGGATGAGTTCATCTTCATCTAGAAGCTTCAGCATTCATTCTTACAGTATCATCAAGATGGAGATTTTGAGCATGATTGTGAATATTTCAAATTAAGTGCTGGGTGTTTTTACAGGCCGCTTGCACATACGTTCAGTGTTTTCACTGATTTCCAGTAGCCTGTATCAAAAATCATGCTATTTTCGTGCATGTTTTTA